TAATTGATCTGCTCTTGGCTTTACCAGCAGGGGCAAGGCAGCTACAGATGTCCTTATAGGAAAATCTCTGTTGATCTTTGAATATCCATAGAAGATAATAGGCATGACTTGATAATATATTCTGTGTAGAAAATCATGCAGGTTTAAGAAGGGCTGGTGAGACAGACATCACTAAATTCTTTGGGATTAAGCATAAATTTAGACTCATTTATTGTAAAGATAGATTCTGGCAGCAAAGTTAGTAGAAGAGATCCTTCCTCCAGCAAATTCTTTATTGTGTTAAGTCTTGTGCTTCAGCGAGCAGTGACTTCAGAACCCCGCTACTTTGTTGTCTAGCTGCTTCCTGCACAAACTGGCCCTGGTCCTGTATCTGGCTGGAAAACATGGTCATGCTTTTTCTGGCAGATATATCCAAGCTGCTGGAACCTACTCTTAGTTGACATGTTAATGCTTGTTTCTTTTGTACTGGTCTTTGTTTTTATGGTCTCATATCTGTGATGTGGTCTTAAAAACAACTCTTCATTATGTTCCATTTAAATGCCCAGTAGTCTTTATATGTTGGCCCTCTTGAAGTCTGTGTCCTCTACATAGAGCAGGAGCAGGGAAGTGTTCATCTTAAGCTGTCTAATTTTTCTGTCTGTGGAGACTTGCTTGTCTGAATTTTCCCAGGGTCACACGCACCTTTATTTTACTCACAACCTCCTTAGATTAATTATTGTCCTACTTGAAGCTTCTTGGGCAGAAAAAGCCTTCCACATTGTCCCCTTTTTGCTCTGTACTTTAATAGCTACATGATTCTTTTCCTTTCTCCTGTTTTGCCACACTGACCTGCAATACACATTTTTGGCAGTCCTGGGTGGAGTCCCAAGCTGGCCCTCCAGGCCCTTGTTCAATGCATCTAGTAGATTGATGTTGTTAGTGAACTTTCAACTCCTTCCTGTGTATAATTACCCCAAGACCTTTGACCATTACAGCTCTGTCCATCAGTCTGTTGAGGTACACGAGGAAATATTGCATACTTGTATCTGCTGCCTACCAACATCTGAAACCAGCCACTAAGCTTGCCATTGACTGGCATGGACAATCTTACCAAACCTTGATTTTTTTTTATTTTTTTTTCTGTGGGGTTAGCAATTTCTTGCCCACATTGTATAGTCATTGAATAGCTCCAAGTCCATCATGCTATGCCAAGTCGCATCTTTTACAAATTGGTGTTTTTCTGTTTCAGGGACAGGATCAACTTCAAACACATGATTTGCTGCATATATCCTCTGTCTTTGTGGAAACCAGACATTTCTCCTCAGGTCAGTGCCTTATATTTAGATTTTGAATCTTTTGATGAGAAATGTGGTGGGTCCTTTGCTAAGCAGATGATCAGAGAGATTATTGTGTAATTCATCCCCTTCCACAGGCTACCTTTTTTGGATGTTCTCCCCAAGATCAACTTCCTCGCACTTAAGGGATTTTTTTCTTCTGCCAGAAGTTATGGCCTAATGGGTAAAATTGCCTGTTTAGATTAGATTACCATTTCCTGCTATAACCAGCTCTTCTGATATGCCATCCTCTCCTGGGCTCTGGTTTTTAATTCAACCTCTTGACATTCTCTTAAATTTTTTTCCAACAAAGCATCATCACTTGTTATCCTGCACAAGTGGGGCTCCAGTTTACAGGATTTTTTTGAGTACCATCTTCTCTTTAGATCCATCATCCTTATAGAAGCTGTCCCCGACGGGCCTTCGTCGAACCCTACTAGTAGTGTAGCTCCCAGTTCGGGTGACCACCCTCTGCACCGAGCATTGGTGTTACTGAAGTTGAGTTGTCTTCCCTGCTTCACCAACCCCGCTTCTCGCCTGCTATGACTTTGCTGTTATCCCAGTGGGGCGGGGCCAGTTCACCGGTCCCTTGGTGTCCCGGGTTGGCCTCGTCGGTTACACACGGGATACCTCCCACCACCGGTTCGTCACCTGAACCCTCAGCTGTGTGCTTCCTCCCAGTGATTCCTCTTTCCGGAGTACCGCCCTGACCTACCACCCGCGCCCTTACGATGTTGCCGCGGAGTGACGTCTCCTGGATGGGTATACCACGCTGTCCCCTTTAATCCTCAATCGACGCCTTCTATTCTTGGCGGCGATCCTGCCCTGAACTCTCTCTCCAGCCTGGTGCGTCTTCGGCCTCACCCTCCTCTTCGACACTTCCCGCGCCCCCTGCCACAG